TACACTTTTAATATATATACTTATAAAACACTAATTAAAAAATCTATACTTAAAATTAAAATGTACTTTAATACAGAGAGGAGATACCCTAATAAGGTAAATACCTTATCTTGTTTGTGAAATTTGGTACCATTAAATTTATGGAACTCATTCGCAAAATCATATCAATTTTGACAAAATTAGCGACGGTGGCCTTACTCACAGAGAGATATTGAAGTGAAAGCTAATTAGTTTCTGTTCTTCTTCATACCATTTCTTTTAATTTTATTCAGTGAATCTTAGAAGGTGAAGGGTTGAATTCGAAACCTCTCATGACTCTGGTCGGTTCATTTGATCTCCAAACAAATGTTTTATTGGCTTTTACAGTTTCTATCTATCTTGATAAAGTATTGAAAACTAAAGTAAGTGGTAACTGCTCATGAGATAACGAACACTAATGTAAGAATAATATTTTTATATAATTTTTATATATTATTTAAAATTAATAAATATATATAATTATAAATTTTAAATAAATAAACAATTAATTATTTAATTAATACATAAAATTATATTTAAAAATAATATAAAAATTTTATCTTTAAATTATTTTCTTAACATAATTTCATTTTTGAACAATTTTAAGTTGGGAGATGGGGAATTCGAACTGTCCATTGGATTGCGAATAGAGGCGCCTTACCCAATCGCCCTATTAGGTCGGGACAGGTGCCAACCCTTTTCCTTTTTTGGCTTTTTTTTTTTTTTTTGGGTGTGCGGTGCTGATTCTATTTTTGGTTGGCCAATATGGACACCATGACATTGATATGGTAAGTCAGATGGTGAAATGAAAGTTTTGGTCCAAAAGAGTAGGCATGTGGAATCGTTGAATCTCTCTGGTAATGATTTTACCTTTTTAGGGTAAATAGATTGGAACACATGACAATGAGGGATTGAATCAAGTGGTAAGCGGTTTGTTCCAGCTTAAGTAAGGTTTCGAGTTCGAGACCTTGTGAATGCAGCAGTTTTCGCTGAGAGACTCACCCACCATTTCCAGGTGCGCGACGCGGGTTGGATCCGGATTAGTCAGGGCGAAACCTCGAATACCGAATGGGAAACCAAAAAAAGATTAGAACACATGAGTTATGGTCGAACCCTTTTTTTTACAAAGGGAATTGAGGTGAGGATAAGGGGAAGAGAAATGGGATGAAGAGAATCGAATCTTGATAGTATATAGGTAGAAAGTTTACATAATAATCATATGAGTCACGTATTAAAATTTTTCATTAAAACTTATTTAGGCTTTATTTTTTAAGTGTTATATATGTTATATTATAATTATAAGTT